AAGATTCTGAAATGCAATTTTTGGAATTAATATCTTGTTTATCCAACTTTATTAAAGTGACCTTCAATTTGTCTTATATATCTAACAACAAGAAGGTGAATACATTTTCAAGTCAAATGAAAAATGTTCAAGAGTACTTAAAAGAAAACTACAATTTATTGTTGTGTGTTAAAAGGTGCTCAATTTAAATAAGTAAGAGCGAGTATTTGTTGGTTCGGTTCGATTTTATGTATTACCAGTTCTGTTTATTGTTTTTAAATATGCTAAATCAATAACAAATCACTAAGATATTCTTTATCGATTTTTGATTTACTGGATTTTGGTCATTAACGGTTCAGTCTTCGGTTCACCCAATAAGAAAATACTCGTAAAATAATTAAATGATTTCTCACTTCTCTAACAATTTGATGCAATACAGTGAGACTAGCAAATCAGCGGTAGATATTTTGATATAGTGAAACAAGAAATATAATGAGAAATTATATCAAATAAGAGTATATATAGTACCAAAGCTACAATTATATAGTACAACCACTAAGATATATATATATATATATTAAAAAAATCCAAAAGAATAAATAAAACTTGGCAGATAAATGTAACAACCTGTTTAGTCGGTTCGAGCAGTAGAACTATTTTTGATAAAAACTGACTGGGTCGACGGATCACGCGACGGACCATCATGGTCACGACGGACCGTGATGGACTCCGTCGTCCCATACTTGTGTAATTTCTTCTACTGCTCTCCTCATTACCCTCGACGACAGGTAGGACGAACCGTCATAGGCACGACGGTCCGTCGAGGGTCTTCGTTCCAAAACACTTCAACTCTGAAATCTGGGTACTGGGATCGACTCTCTGAACTTCGCGACGGAACTGCAGCACGGACCGTCGTAGATACGACGGACCGTCACAAGTTGCGTAACCTCACTACTGAATTTAACTCTCTGAACTTTGTGACGGACCTGCAGGACGGACCGTCATAGATACGACGGACCGTCACAAGCTGCGTAACTCCACCCTGGGTCGGATTTCCGCTAAAATTTAAATGGGTGTTTTGGGACTATTCATGATTATAAATATAAAATTAGTGGGGCAAGTTCAATAATTTATATACTTGGGGGTTAAAGAAGATAATAGGGAAATAAATAGTGGGTTACTTTTATCATAATGGATTATATGATAATTAGGGTAAAAGAAAAAGAATCTGCAGAAGAAAAATAAAAAGAACAGAAAGGGAGAACGAGCGAGAGAGAGAGAACGAAGAAGAAAGCAAGTGACTTAGACTTCAGATTGAAAAGGTTCAAAGGCATTGGGGAGGTAGCTTGCTTGATCACGATTCTTCGGTGGAGGTAGGTAATGGTTAATTTTTATGTGATAGATAAACTCTAAATAGCGATCGATATGTATTGGGTGGTATTGTAAAGTCTTCTATGTACTTGATTGTGTGATTGTATGTTTTGATTGTGCAGTTGGGGTTGGTTAGAATGATGAGATTGTTGAACCTTCAATCTTAAATCCTCTCTATTAATATGACGCCTTGACATAAAGAAGACTTGATGAAATAAAATAATGAGATAAATGGATCGGAGTGTCACGTTCTGACACGGTAATATTGGGTCGGAGTGTCACGTTCTGACACGGTAATATTGGATCGGAGTGTCACGTTCCGACACGTATTAGGGGATCGGAGTGTCACGTTCCGACACGGTATATGGGATCGGAGTGTCACGTTCCGACACGATAATAATAAAAAGAAGGAATCTTGAATTAGGTTAATATACTCAAATTTGAAGAACCTATTTCCCAAATGAGTATGGTGTGGAGGCTTGAGTCCTCAATAGGTGTGCTTGGTGTTGTTGCCAATGTTTCTTGTACTTGTTGCTTGTCACCTGTTAAGTATTGTGGTTGATTTTATATTATTATTCAGTATATATTGCTTTCTATTTTGAGTTGGCCGATGATACCTACTCAGTACGTGTTCCTTGTACTGACCCCTACTTGTATTTTTGCTTCTTGTTGTTTTGTGGAGTGCAACAAGTGCACCATCGACTTCGACTCGCCCTCAACTCTAGCCAGTCTCCAGCACATCAGATTTCAGGGTGAGCTATTATTCCTAGGTCGGACTGGATTCTCTCCCGCACGTCTTGATGTCTTTGAAGTTCGGACATGGACCATTTCTTTTACTTATTTTAGCTTCTTAAATACTCTTAGATTTAGAAATTTGAGGATAGATGTTCTTGATGTGATGACTTACAGATTTTGGGATTAATAAATATTAAACTTTAGAAGTTTATTTAATTGATTACGTTAATAAGTTTTGGATCTTCCGCAGTATTTTTACTACTCATAATTGATATACTGATAAATGTTGGTGTTTAGATTTGTTGGTTCGCTCATCTAGGAGGATAAGTGTGGGTGCCACTCGCGGCTCGTTTTGGATCGTGACAATAAAATTCATTCTATATTTATGTGGAGATGGTTAAAGAGAGATTCATGAATAGGTTATCTATGAATTTTTCAAAATTAAAAAAATAACAATATTTTTTTATTAAAATCAAAAAAGAAAATATATTTATTTTAATATATACTATGTATAATTAGTATATTTTTATTATTATATATATTACTTAGTGATCTAATTATTTTTTATCGAACAATTAAATATATCAAAAGAGAAAAATAACAAGTTGCTCTTTCTACTCAGTTTGATGACAATCCACTTAACAGAGGACATATATGTCATTATAGGAGGAAGCCCAATAGGGTTAATCAGAATTAATGATAGATAAATTTTATAATTAAATAATAAAATTTGTTCTTAGTATTATTTAATAATAAATTATAATTTTTTTTGATAAACTCTAAGAAATTTAGCAATGAATTAATGACAAAATTTATAACTAATTGATAGTGTGATTACTTAAAAGTTGTAACTTTGTATTACAAATATACACATGATATGAACGATATTTGGATATGTTTGGGTTTATATATAATAAAATTATTCATCTTGTAATTCAAAATTGGTGTATAATGATAATTACTCTCAATTTCTAAATAAGTTGGGATCAATTATATCAATTTTTGTATTTCTTTGTTAAAATTTATATTACATCATCGTATATACGTGAGAATATTATGGAAAAAAATATTTCGTCGAAATAGCTTTGCTATGCCATTCTCTTTGTTTGTCTATCCGTCATCCGTCCGTCCTTTAGGAATCGTTCGTAAGATGAGATATCCTATGATTAAGTTTGTGAATAAGATTATACTCTATTTGGTCGAACATATACATTTAATGTCAGCCTTAATTATAAATATTCATCTTATCTCGTTCAACTTGATATTATTTTAATATAAAGTACAAAAATCCTATACGTTTGAAGGCTAATTACATCATATCTCAGAACTTTTCCCAATTACAAAAATTGTAAATTTTTCATTGCTGTCGAATACATTTTTTGGTTGTCCGATACATTGCAAATGAGGGATGTATCCAAAAGCAGATAAGTATGTATCCGACAGAAGATAGAGATATATCCGAGAGGAGATGGACATATACGAGAGGAAATTTTTATAATTTTTTTAAATGATAGGATATTTTCGAGATTACGACATCTTAAGTCCACTACAACAAAAATAACTTTTAGCGGCATTAAATATTGACACTATTAAAGAGTGCTAAAGTCTTTACCGGCATTAGTTAAGTGTCATTAGAACCAGTATTGCTAAAGGCTTTAGGGACATATACAAAGAGTGACAATTGCTGCTAAAAATACATATTTAGCAACAATTAAGAATTAAATGCTGCTAATGGTCATTTTTGTTGTAATGAGCTGTGTATTTCATATAATTTTTCCATTATTTTATCCTACCTCTCAGGTGAATATAAATTTATCTAAAAATTATAATCTTAAATTTATAATCTCGAGATAACTTTATTCACGAATCAAATATCCGTTAATATTTTAAGTGACTTTTTCTGGATGTTGCCAAAAAAGACCTATTTTCAAGTCAACGATTGGACGGTCTCATTGACGTTTAATTTTTTGTATATATTGTAACGTATGCTAGTCAATTACTTTTGTCTAAAAAAGACTTCAATATAATTTTTTTAATAATTTTTTTTAAGTAGCTAATTTTATTTATTGTTAGTTATGAACAGTTACGTATAATTATCTTTTAAATAATTTAATAATGTAAAATTTGTTTTTATATCTCTATTGTCATTAACTTTTGTCCAAGAAAGATTGCATATGATGTACCTTTGAGTATATATTTTTATTTTAATTTTTTGGTGTGTGACTGATTTTTTAAATTATATATCGTGTTTCATGAATAATTATATATATTTAATTTTTTTAAATGACTTGATAGCGCAATATATTGAAGATTATTAGTAGAAAAGTGAACTTTTCATATAAGAAGAAAGAATTATTGTAATTTTTTTTTAATAAATTTGGAGTATTGTGTCTCAATAAAAGATTAAATGAAGTGATTATATTATTAATTGAGAAAAAATGAATAAAATTGACTATTAAAACTTTACTTAAGAAAAGATTTAAAAATTCTGTTTGATTTTGATTTTAGGCCATTAATATATTTGAATTATTTCGATAATAACGAGATAAAAATTTGACTAGATTGTACCCAACATATTCCATGATCTAGGAATATGTATAACATATACATCTCAAAAAACAATTCCAAAAAATTTTGCACAAGCGATGAATAACAGATATATATATATATATATATATCGAGATTCCAGTGAAACCTAATTTTACAATATAATAAAACTTGAAATCAGTGTTGAAATTCATAAGTTTTCAATTTTGAATTCGCTTTTGCTAAGTAATTTCTATTTTCTCATAAAACTTATACATACTCCTTTTTCGTATCACATCCACCACAAAACATTAAAAGGAAATCGAATACATTTGCGGATCATACATTAAATTTAAGTTATATACATCGTTATTATAAAAAAAATCACTATTATCAACTTTACTTGTCATAACCATAACAAATAATTAATTAATCTAATTCATTTTCAAGATAACATAATGAACTTACATTTTAAAGAACCTTACCTAGCTATAAATATCACTTACATAATCTGATCATAGTATATAAAAATTCGTTACACTGACGATATAATATTAACTTAAATACTTAATAAATTATCTATACAAACACCCTCTATATGATGGGATTAAATAATCAGATCCATTATTAGTCTCATGATATATTTGAGGGGTACATGAAATGGGAACTAAACAAAGTCCTTTGCTCCTCAAATCAATTTCTTTTCTATCAAATACTCCCCAATACCTTTCCTAAATTATCAAAAAAATTAAAAAAAAAATTGTTAGAATTAACTTTGCATAATAAATATTTTTACTATTTTAGGAAAAATACATAAATATCCCCGAATTTATGTCCGAAATCACAGTGACACACTTATACTATCTTATGGTCCTATTACCATCTGAACATATTTTATAAACAATTTTCTACCCCTTTTTCGGCCTACGTAACACTAGCTTGAAAAAAAATGCTAACACGCGCTGAACCCACAAGATAGTGTCACGTAGGTCGAAAAGAGGTAAGAAATTGTTTATAAAATAAGTTCAAAGGGTAATAAGACCTTAGTATAGTATAAGTATGTCTCTGAAATTTTGAAATAAATTGGAGGATACTTGTGCATTTTCCCACTATTTCATTATATTATAATATTATGGATATTTACACTACACACGAATCTAAAAAAATTAAGAACAAAAAATCAACATATTTTTGAGGATTTTATTTGGTATAGTATAGTATAGTAAAAATATTATATATGCATGAATATACTTATTACGGCGTATGAATATAATATATTTCACTATTATTATGGACTCGGGATAAAATGTATTTCGATATGTTTAAAAATCAAAATATTGCTATATGTTATGTAATTAAGCAAAGAGTTTGCTATTTTTTGAAAATTATTAGAATTTACTTGTAAAATACTTATCATATTAATTTCCTATGATTCACCAAAATAATAATTAATTTACAAGATGTTTACATTTTTAATAGTTGTATTTAAAATTGTTAAATAGCTCACCTTGCATGTATTGCTCTTCATGTAGGCATGGCTTAGTAGCTGCATAGGATACAAAAGAGAAAAAAAGTAAATGAAAACCTCATATTATATAGTATATGAATTAAGCATAAGAGAAATGAAATATTTGAAGTGTGTGATCGTCTTACGTAAAAAAATTTAATTATATATTATAAAAGAAAAAATGATAAATATATCTTTGAACTATCGCAAATGGTATGTAGATAATCTTCATCATACTTTTGGGACATTGGCGCCCCTGTCGTCCAAAAACTAGAGTATATATGCCCTTTATACTAACGGACATACACGTGTCATAATCTTATCCACCGAACCGACATAGGATCGATGGATGAGATTGTGCCACGTGTCCCTATTTAGACATCGGATCAATGGATGAGATTGTGACACGTGTCCCTATTTAGACATCGGATCGATGGATGAGATTGTGCCACGTGTCCCTATTTAGACATCGGATCGATGGATGAGATTGTGACACGTGTCCCTATTTAGTCTTCCGTTAGAATGAAGGGCATATACGATTTAGTTGTTGGACGGCAGGGACATCAATGTCCCAAAAGTATGACGGAGAATATCTACATATCATATACAATAATTTCGAGATATATTTAAATTTTTTCCCTAATATAAAACATATATTTTTCGACTGAATTATGTTTTCAACATATCCTTTCACGTGATGAGTTAATTCTTTCTTTTTCATCGAACAAACATAATAAAATTCTTTTCAATAATCAGACTACTCTTTTCACGAGACAAATATATGAAAATTTTTCTTGATAATCGGTGTCAATTAATCAAATTAATGTGTATCGTATATATTTAATATTTAAACTTGTGATCTAAATTAAATCATACCTGTATTTGCTCTTGTAAGAATCTAACATAGTTGATTGTTTCCCACAAAACAGATGCCGTATCAGTCTATACACAAATAAAAACAAATTTTTTGGATTAGAAATAATTAATACTCGAGTTGAAATAATAACAATACTGATAATATTAACTATAATAATATATAAATTAATTTTGAAATCCGCACAATTTATGCAATTAATATATATATATATATATATATATATATATATATATATATATATATATATATATATATATAT